GCTGGGGAATTCTGGGAGTTGAAGTCCACCCATCTTAAAGCTGCCAAGGTTGAGAAACACTACTCTAGAGGCTGTTTAGGTTTGGATGAGGTGGAACAGACTTTGGCTCAATCCTGACAAGACTGAGTGGCTGTGGCTGTTTGGCCCCTGAAGTCAGGGACATCTCCGTCATTGGTCTCTGATGGGGTAGCGGTTCCCATCAAAATGTGGGGGTCCTTGGAGTTACTGCTCAAAGAGCAGGTCACAGCTGTGGCCAGGAGAGCCTTTGCCCAGGTTCATCTCCAGATGCACCCTTTCCTTGACTGAGAGGTCTTACAGTTACTCACACCCTGGTCACCTCAGGATTGGATTATTGCAATGTGCTCTGCATGGATCTGCCCTTGAAGACCATCTAGAAGCTACATGGTACAAAACACAGTGAGCACTTTTTGGTATGTCTATGCATCACCACTACTATGCAAACTGAACTGGTTGCCAATCAGCTTCCAGGTGCAATTCAAGGTGCTGGTTGTTACCTATAAAGCCTTCATAGCATAGGATACCTGAGGGACTGCTTATTTTCAATCGTTTCTGCCCACCTGATATGTTCTAACAGAGTGGGTGCACTCCAAGTCCTTTCTATTAAATGTTGCCATCTTATAGGATGGAGGAAGTATGCTGTTTGTCATGGCCCCCATCCTCTAGAACAGCACCCCCCAGAGATACAGATGGCACCCTCTCTCCTGAGGTTCTGAAAAGCCTTCAAGATCTGGCTTTGGTCCCAGGCCTAGGCTTAATGTGTTGTGGGGCCCGTTGTGATTCTTTGTTATTATGATGGTTGTTTTAGTCCAGGCTGTCTGTGCTGTTTTATGTTTTTTAAATGTCTTTATTGTTTCTAGATTTGTAAGTCACCCTGAGTCTACCAGAGTGCATGGCTATAACAAATGTAAATAAATAAATAAATATTCAACGTATAAGCATCAGTTGTAACTACTGATTAGAAGAAGACATTTCTTCTTTCTTTAGTCATGGAAATAGTTGACTCCATATTCACCTTGTGCACAATACCCACCTTCCATTTTAATCCTGGACGAGCAAGTGGAATGAATCTTCCATCAAACATATGTGAAAATGGTCCATGACCTAAAAGTAAAGATTATGCAATTAATTTCTGTGGCAGAGTTAAGATGTATTTGTCTGTTTTTATACACATACAGAGATACTCAGATACGAACACAAACATTCCTCAAACTATGGTGTTACTAAAACTATTAAAGCCAAAGGATTCACTTATTGTTTATTGAACCTGACCTGGTCATTTTCTATTCTACCCTCTCCCCCTCTGCTTAACAATCCTTCTAAAACAATAACAAGAAGACAATCTCATGGATCATGGAGCATCAAATTAATATATAAGATGCAGTAAAACATCATGGAACATGCAAACTTAAAATTTAACTTTCTAGCAGTTTTCAGAATATCGGTATTTTAATTGTTCATGTTGAAAAGATCATGTTGAAATAAATTTTATATTCTAGAGTAGAACTTTAAAGGTTAAAAGCAATACTAAGCCAAAGAAACAAACTTGAAATCAAAGAAAATGGCATATTATTGCTGTTACATTATTAAAAGCATGGTTTGCAATCAGTTCCTCAAAAAAGGAAAACCTTATTATTGGATTTACTATTTGTGTTAATTGATAATATACAAGATTCACCTTTTTAACAATTGCATTGCATATTAAAACTATGTTTAGTTTTTCTTTCACATAAGTAATGATGCTAACCTACTGCCGAGTTCCCAAGGCAAGATTCTCCTGCCTTACTTTTCTTTTAGATGTTTTTAAATATTAAAATTAAAATGAGTAAAATTAAAAATCTGGCATGCTGCAAAGCAAAACGGTGGCATCAGAGTCATATTTCTGTGAATGCCTTTGGATTCAACACAGAACTGAAAAATAGGGGCAGGCTGCAGGTTAGGTCTTTGATATAAACATACCTACCTACCTTACCTTTTGTTAAGCTTTAGTGACATACAACACCGTAAATACTCCTGACAAATTCACTTGCTGGTCAGTGACTGTAATAAAGGTTATCTATCCTGACACGTTTTACAGCTACCTCTGCAAAATAATGAGAGCTAACTGGGGCTAAAATAGGGTTTGCCACTATGAGGAGGGTTTTCCCCTACGCCCAGATAAAAATATATATCCAAATGAAGAATGGGAGAAAGCTAACCAAAAAAAAAAAAATATTCTGACTGAAAACCTCAAGCTGAAAGTTCCAGTCATGGACTCCAGAAACATACTCCTATGGATGTTCAGCTCTCTCTGTTTCAGCATACTTGACTGGAGACTGGCCTCATGACCTTCTCTCTCTCCCTCCCATAGGAATTGGAAAAGACTTCTGTGTACTACCAGTTGTTCACATTCCATTGGTTAACAAACACTGAACTACCACTTCTCCACAATAGATAAGAGTCGAACTAGTGAATTCTAGTTTAGTTTAATTTCATAATTAAATTGATTTTTGTAGTACATTTGTACAACCTTAGCCGCTTTAGACTCAGCAACAGAGTGATCCTGGGAGACTGAAGTGCTCCCACTGTATTTTAAATGCTGACGCAGTTTACATCAAATTTGTACCCATTTATTCTTTTGCACAGAAATTGGTCCACTCATCTTATGTTGAAAATAGTATTTTACAATTCTACCCCACTCCTTTCCCACAAACATGAATCTGTGTATTTTTCTACTTCAGGGCAACATGCATCTGACAAGTGGATGCAGAAGTTTATGCCATAATATAGTTGTTAAGACTGTCACAAGGAATAGTTTAGAATGATATATTATACTTATATACATATTACTTATTAATAAAGAACTTGCTTACCCAAATCATGACAAAGTCCAGCAATTTGAACACACAGAATATCCCTCTGATCAATACACAGTTCAGGTTGTCGTTCTTGCAATGCCTGCACCAAACGGCCTGCGAGATGACTAACGCTTTTCCGAAAAGGCAAGAAATTAACTTTTCTATCTCCTGAGTTTGAGGTTTATAAATAAAATAGGCAATGCAATGCAATGCAGTCATGAACTGCTATAAGGCTTATTTAAATTCTGAATTTATATTACTGATACTTTATTCTGAACAATTTAATCTTCCTCATGCATCCATTTAATGTGAAATTTAATGTGAAACAAGGAAGAATGTATTTTTTTCCTTTTTAAAGGAAGAAACCAGTATCTACACATTCTTGGCTGTATTTTATTTACACTATTTATAGCCCAGTTCTCTTTAGCCCAAGCAGAAATTAAGAAAAGCTTTCCTCTCTCTTGTGTTATCTGTGCATGTAAACCCTATACCAGAGATTCTCTCTACACAAAGCCCACAATTTTACTAATGGCATTCAACGTAATAAAATGCATTGTATTCAAGATGTTGGCTACATAAGCCAAGCAGTCTTTCTTTTCAACTATAATTTTTAGGGGAGAAACCCAAAGTTTAAGAACAATTGTTTATCAAACTATGCTAAATTTTAAATGTATTTAAATATGGGGCATCATGAAGCAGTCTTTAAATATAAAAACCTCCCTCAATGGAAAACATATAGCAGGAACTAGCTGCTGTTTTTGAATTCAGTGGAACCATTTTACTTATATTTACAGACAAAGCCAATTTCAGTGTAAAAACAAGTAAACAATACTCCTTACCCAAGAGAATGTTCAAAGCGATTGTGTGTTGCTCCCGGGAAGACATAGTAACTGCCACCCAACTGCTTAATATATCGTAGACGTTGAAACTGAGGCGTGTCGATGATGCGAACAAGAAGAGGATGCATTTCAATATGACCATGGATTGGATCATTAAATACCTGGAAAAAGCAAAACAAAATTTTAAAATATCAGTTGATCTATGATGAGTGATCTTTCAATCAAGAACAAACATTCTCTTTTTCTAATTCTAAAAAATTAAGGTAATAACAGGGTAACTAAAAACACATAACAAGCAATGAAAATCAGCTGGGACAAATTCACCACCCATATAAAACAAAAATTGAAAATCACTTTTAATGATTTTCAAAAATTGATTTAAATACCCGCTATTTATCCTTTCTTCTGTCATTCCCAGAACTATTGTCAATGGTCACTCTCTTACCATCTTGAGCAGATTTTGGGCAGGAAATAAGGGCTGCAGAAAAAGGAGGATTTTTCTTTAATTATCTGTTCCAAGAATATTAAGAAAGTTCTTACGGGAGGGATGGAGCCCCTGTCTTTTGTTTTTTAACTGCAATTTTCATTTGAAACGGGATTTTAACTTTCCAGATTTTCAGCTTTATCATTGGGCTGATCTAAATTTCCATTTCTTCACGGAATTTAAGTAATTCTCAAAAAATTATGGTCATAATTAGAAAGTTATTATTTGTTCCCTTTTTTATCCTGGTAAGAGCTCAGTTTGGGTTTTACTCAAAAATTAATTGCCCCCCTTCCTGCATTAGAGGTCACAAGACATATTTGAATGCTGTTGGGAAGGAAGCTTAAACCAGATCTCTATTACCAGGAGAAACCGATTCTTTGGCATAACTCCAGTTTGAGAACTGCAGGTAATGTGCTCATTTTCCACAAAGGCCTTGCTTTATATCAATGCAGAGGAACAATAATTTTCCCTGTATTCAAAGTTACATTTGTGGTTAAATAGCTGATTTTCTTACTAATGCATTTATTATAAACATTTTTCTTTTTTTCTGCTTAATTTTGTTCTGGTTATGTAGGATTTTTTGCTTTGTTTCTTATAACAATTGACTGATTAAGTGCCGTCAGGTCAATGTCGATTCTTAGTGACCATATGTTTTCTCCAGGGCAATCTGTCCTCAGCCTGGTCCTTAAGTCTTCTAATGGTGCACTCATCACTACTATAGTTAAGCCCAACTACCTTGCTGCTGGTCATCCTCCTCTTCTCTTTCCTTCCACCTTTCCGAACATTACAGAGTTCTCCAGAGAGCTAGGTCTTCCCATAATGAGTCTGAAGTATGATTTGAGTCTGATCATTTGTGTCTTGAGTGAGAACTCTGGGTTGATCTGTTTGATGATCCATTTGTTTGCTTTCTTGGCTATCCACGGTATTCTCAGGAATTCAGAACACCAAACACCAAAGTTCAGAACAGTCTGTACTCTTTCTATCCTGCTTCTTCAAAATCCAACTTTTGCTTCTATAGAGTGTCACAGCACAATTCTGATCTTTGGAGGTATAGACACATCATGGCATATGAGTATCTTCTTCAAGGCCTTCACTCTACCAACTGCTAGTCTGAGGCATGTTTCTTGACTGCCGGTTTCTTTACTGGCGATAGTTGCTGCTAAAAGACAGAAGCTATTCACCACTTTAGTATCTTTATTGTCAATTCTAAGGCTAGTTGCTATACCTCTTGTCATTCATTTGGTCTTCTTTATATTTAATGTTATACACAACAGAAATTCATTTAAAATTTTAAAATGCTCTGTTCCACATTTCTCCAACAGACATAAACAGAGATCCATCAACACACTTTGAATCTAACCATGAAGTCCTATAACTAGCCTTTAATAATTTAGAATACCAAGTTTACCTATGTAGCTGATTCACTGATCATGATCAATGTGATGGTCAATATGATCATTGGAGTGTAATCGAAATACTTAGAATTTTAATCTGTGATGCATATTGTTTCTATTTTGAGAATGTTAATTCTTAACATTATATCTTGCTCCAATTCAGCATATTAGCCCCAATTATATAGTCCTAAAATGTATTTTCAGGAATGTAATGCAATTTTTGGAGATTTATCTGGGTAAATTTTTGTTTTTCACTCAGGTAGTATCAATTGTTAATTAAAGAAGATGGTTTTAGTTTTACATACTTATACCATATGGTTATATTAAATGAAGTATCTTTTTATCAGATTAATGGATGGTAAGTTTTGCCTACTGGAAACTTATCTATCTTGGAATCTGCATTTTACATCCCCTTGTAAATTGGAGGAAGTTAAGTTGCAACTATTTATTATATCAGTGCTGAAGAGGCATGGTATGCAAAAACATGCCAGTTATTAACATTATAGTAGAACCCTTGTAAATAGCAAGAGACTCCTTGTTAAAGGAATTGGGCAGATTGTGGTATGTAAATCTTAGAACAATTAATAGGATCAGATCATAGTTTTTTATTTGAGACTTAAAAGACAGGTATCATTTTCTGAAAAATGCTGCAGACAGGCAATATCTTCAATTGAAACATATTCTGCTATCTAGACACGTGCTGGTGATCCTAAGTCTCTAGAAAAACACACAGACAGTATTTGAGCATTTACTATGTTCTTTATCAAAAAATATACCTAAGATTTGATGTTGTGGTGGGTTTTGTTATTGTGTGAGCCACCTAGAATTACTGTATATAAAGTAGGAGGCTATATTGTTTTCCAAACAAATAAATTATATTAATTAATGAAATAACTACTTATAAATGGTTGTTAGAATACACTAAATTAAATGTTCAAGAACATTTAAAGAACATTTCTTTAAGAGAAGAAATTAGCACATCCAGTTGATGAACATCAGCAGAAGACCATTTTAGCATCTATTGCCTATATTTTTATAGATTTAAAATTACAGTTAATTTAACAAATAGTATAATTTTTATGTATTGGACATATACATCCTTTCAGAAATAATGTAATGGGGGTTCAGCTAAATATTGGAGATGTGTAATTTAAAATACAACATTGGTTCATATGATGTGATCTTCTGTTATAGTGACTCCTTTTAAACAAATGTTATTTCACATATTAATTTTGCTTTAAAGATCCATTGGATTTTGTAGATGCTAATGCTCTTTTGAATTATATAACAATGATTTGGAAACTAACCAGAGGATAGAAAACAGACCAGGTGGTTTTACAATTGCAAAACAATACCTAAATAAACTTATGAAAATGAAAGCAGTCCCATTCTCCATATTTATTCAGTGTCTGAAGACTTATCTTGCTATATTCCAACAAGCATTTTATAGCCAGGAGATCCAATTCCAAGGCTATTTAGAAATTTGGACTGCAAAGCAGTTTATATGTTTAACTTCATTTTAATTTCATTTGTTTCCCAATGTTAAATAAACTGATTTAAATATTAATAATATAGTAATACAACAAGTTATAATATATATGCAAGACTGATTTTGTTTGGTACATAAATTATGTATGATTTGGGGGGGTCATTCCTCTTTCAACATATATAATACAGAAGTAGTACATGGGATTCTGGTACAAATTATTCAATAAAGGCAATCTCATTTAAAAAAACATAATAAAGAAAGGAATTGTTTTCTCACCTTTGGTATATCAGTGTGACTTTGTGCCAGGTGGCGCACACAATCTAGTAGCTTCAGTCTCACGCCTACAGCTCTGAAAATCAAGCATATAATATGACTTAACCAATAATTCAATATTTTATTTAGTAATGATATGAAAGCTAAATTAACTGTTACTAAGACAAGAATTTCTGCAGAAGTTTTCAGCAAAATATCTTCTGGCAAATAGCGATGGTGATGAAACCACTCATTTTTAAGGGACAGTAACTTCATGAAGAAAAATACATTTATTCCCATTTCAAAGAAAAGTTAAATTTACATTTCCACATTAACTGCATAATGAGAAGGACATATACATATATTTCATTTTCTCTTTTTACCCTGGGAAATGTTCACAGATTACAGCTAGAAAAAGGTATGAATGCTATATCCTCATTCATATCCTGAAAAAGATAAGTGAAAGCAACACAGCACCCATCCTTAGGGTGCTTTACGGCAGTGTTGACTCAAGGGTACAGGGCGCCCCCAGACCACAGTGACCGAGAGCGCCACCTCCCGCCAAGGCAAAGATTAGCCTTTTTAGAATGATTCACAAGGAGGGACAGCATCGGTGCCCTCTAAGCTTCGGTGCTCACTCAGCCTAAAGCCAGCCCAGATTTACAGTATCCTAAACAGGTGACAGAGTATGTCAACTGCAGTTTTGTTTGAATTCAGCAATTCAGATCGCAACTTACGTTAGAGCTGCACAAAGCATTCAAAAGGGGCATGTTGCAAAATGCACTGGCGTGAGTGGAAGACTCCTCCTTGAAGCTTCAAACAGTTGCATCTTCCAGAAACCTCACTGCAGGGGCTTTGAGGGCTTTTCCCAGTTGTCTCAGTTTGGATGCACAGGCCACCCTTCAGCGAGACTGCCAGTGAAGCACAGTAACTGCACAGGCATATCAGTGCAGGAACAACTATGGAATCGCAATGCCGAGCCTCCTAAAGGGAAGAGCTGCCTTCCTGCTTTCAGAAGGGATGTTTCACTCATGCCAATGCACTTCGCAAAGCAACCCTTTCAAATGCTTTACTCAGCCCTATTATATATTATTTGCTGGGGTATCAAGGTCAAAACTAAACCAGTTCTTAGTTTTGTGATCAACTAACTTTCTTTTAAAAAATCAGTACTGACCAGTTTGTAAACAAGGTTTAAATATTATTTATTTATTATTAATCCAATTTATATAGCTGCCCATCTCGCCACAGGTGACTCTGGGTGGTGTACAACAAAGCTAAAAACAATCAATCAATACATTAAAAATATAAAAAGCAAAATAAAATAGAGAATAAAGTATGTTAATAATATGTTGAGTTATAACTGAAAATTTGGAATATCAATATATGAAGAACTTTGGATTTATGGAGTGTAGGGTACATGGCAGGGTGAGGCAGAACTGCATTTCTCCACCCCCTTAAACCTTTGTATGAATGTCACTATAGCCTGTCTGCCCCTCTGCTTGGGTTTTGAGAGAGCCGAAAGTGAAAAGAGAAAGGGGCAGAGATTTTCAGAGGGGGTGCAGAGGTTCTTGCCATTTGTTACTGCAGTAGGTCAACTGAACACACCAAAGAGATCAAAGAGTAGTAAGGAATATACACACAACAGATACAGTGGAAGCAGCAGCCTTGAGGGAGGGAAGATTCAGTGGAGGCTTTACAATGATTCTATAAGTGGCAGAAGATGAGTGGTGGCAGAAAAGGCATCCCGTGGCATTGGAGGAGTTGCCAAGGCTCTAGAGTGGCAGGGAAGCCTGAAAGGTCCCAGAGCAGCAGTGAGAGATGGGGCAAAGAGGTTAAGTTGTGAATGGATGTGGCACAAAAGCAGTAATCCCATGACAGGAGTCAAAAGCTTCTGAGTGTAACTTAAGTGCTGGCTCTCCAAGGGGGAACAGGGTGGCCTTCCATCCCTAGGGTATAAGCCCCCTCCCAGCAAATCTCTAAGAGACTCAGGGCTGCAAAGACCCACACAACTTTGATTGGGGCAATTGTTCTTATAGAAAAGGGAAGAGTTACAAGAAATGAGAAATGTTGCAAGGGGAAAGTGAAACAGAGAATAGGGTGCAGGAAACAGAAACAGGATGTTGAATTAGAAGATATAAAGAGGAACAGAATAAGAATATAAATAGCACTAAGAGGACAAAATGAAGTAAGTAAAACAGTAAGATAAAGTAAGATAAATTCTTATTAAAAAATAAGAAATCACAAGCAATAAAAGGTAACACAATACTATATCATCAGGGGAAAACTTTATTTTGTTATTCACTAATAAAAGTTGCTTATTGTATAATTTTGTGATAATAAAAGCATTTCTGTTCAAAAGATAGATGCTAGTGTACTATCTGACTTTATGTTATCCCTGAAATTATGACAGTGTGTTCCAAAGAAACTTGTCACAATGTAAGGACAGTGGTACTTCAGATGTACCATTTTGGACTGATGATTTGTGAACTGCCTCTCTATCAACACAATAGGAAGACAAACTTTTATTTTTGTGTGGGCAGGATATAATACAACGTTTAAAAACAAAGGTGAATCTTTTGGTATGTATTATGTTTTCATTTTGTTTTCTTGTTGTTTTTCTTTCTGCACTTTTTTCTTTTTTGTATCTTCCAGTTCTTTTTCTTTTTGTGTACCAAAGCAATACAAAAAATCTTCCTAAAAATCAGCTTCTGAAAACTAAAATCACTTAAGTATATTATGGTATTCAGGCAACCAAGAATAACCCAAAACCAAACAGCTCTGCAGAGGTAGAAGACACAAAACCACACATTCTTATAATTTCTTAAATTTGAATAAATAAAAATTTTCCTTACCGAATTCCCATGTTTTCAAGATGAGATCCAGTGAGAGATGTTACAGTTGAACCGGTTATTCTATTTTCTAGAGTTAAATACATAAATTTAAAATTTCTTTCTGAAATTGTCATTTTGAAATTATAAATTATTTGGACAGGCTACAATTAGTCTGACTACATGACTTCAATCCATTAACAATATACACATTAATAAACCTGAAGTACATACTGTACTGCTTTAATTCATACAATCACAAATTATTCAAGGAAACCATGCAAATATAGAGTATGAAGGGGCCACTAATCTGTTCTTTTTTTTTTCTTTATAAGTCATCTTGGAAAATATGATAGAAAATTTAGAATCCAAATACAATGATATCTACAGTCCCTAATTAGAGAATTAACATTAGGAAAAGACATTATCCAAATAATGTCACTCAGGCAATAATTGATCTATTCTAATTGACTCATTTCTTAAAATTATGAAACAGTATTTGAATTGAACAAACTTGCTTGCTAAATATTCAACATTTCCTTCAGAATCAGAATCAAGTACTTAATGTTTAACGTATATATTACGTTATTCAAAAAAGTATCAATTATTCATAAAAGTGGGGAGTGAGAGTGGCTAGCTCAGACATGGGCCCCAGATTTAAGAGGCTGCCCAGGGCTTACATGGGTCACCCTTCCCATTGACTAGTAGTTTTGAATTTGGTTGTCTGCTTCCAATAGAAGCATTTGATTTGTGCGACTGTAGGGTTCTATCTTTGTTTTATTTAGTACATAGACTGAAATTTGATTATGGAGGGTGAGTGATATGTTTACTTTTTGCTTCTATCTATCCTCAGTGAAAACACTTGTTTTGTTTCGGGACAGGGGATGTCACACGCTTACCATCTTTGACCATCACAGTACCACAGAGTTTGAGAGGCCCTGGTTTAGAAATTAGTAGTATGAGGTAGAAAACTCACCTCTACAGAAAGTTAAATGAGTGGAGATCCAAAAACTTGTTTCCTTTATTAAGTTAGCAAAAGGATACTGAAATCACCAGACTGCCATCAAGTAAAGTCAAGAGCCCTGATATCCTTTTAACACGGATCTTATACAGGATACACCAAATTCGAAGGACTATAGGCTGATTGTATAATTAGTTTACAATCATCAAGATGAGGATATAAAGGGTGTCATTTTGGTAGCAGGAGTGTCTGCTTGTCCAGAGAAGAAAGGGAGCAACACATCGGCATTAACTTTATTGTATTTTCTTTCTTTGATTGTTGTGAGCCACTCAGAGTTGTTGAGAGTCAGGCAACATAAACGTTTAATAAATAATCAAAGGCATAGATACAATAACATGAAGGGTTAATTTACAGGGTAACAGAGTGATTCTTCTTGTTCTCTAAATATAGGAAAATCTGAATATTATCTTTATCTTCGAGTAAATCAGCATAACCAGAAGACATTTCAAAGCTTCCCTGTGGATAAAGGAAGGATGTTACATAGTAAAGAATGTGGATCTTGCCAGTGTCCTGAAGATTTGCTACTTGCATGGCAGTTTGACCTTGCTAACATGAGACAAGAAGAATGTTACATTGCAGAGCAAGCAGTTCTATGCAAGGTTGTCAAGTATCACAGCCTTCTAGGTTCTACGCAATCCACAAAGTTTATCCGGCATACCCTCCAACATTACTGCAGTGGAAATGGCAATCCCAGAAGCTTGTATGATTTCAGCATCATGGCAAATCATGCTTCCTATGAAACAGGGAATCCAAGTAGATATAACAGAATATATTCCCGGCCATCCCGTTAGTTTGCTTATACTGTAACATGTTTCTACATATTAAAGCCTCCTTTGAATTGAGCTTGCTTCTTGCTGATTTCATGGAGTGTTCCATACAGATTTCTTGACAAGACTAGGGAAATCAGTTTTCTACTTCCTTCTTCTGAAATGTTTTTGACTTGCCAGTTTAGCCTAGCTATCTCCCATCCCACACCTGACCCTGGTTGGCTTCCAATCCTGACAAGCCAACTCAACTGACTCGCAGAACTGCCTGCCACTTTGCTGGGGGGAGGGGGAACAAATGGAGCTGTGGACCACAGGGAAATCTGCACCCCTCGCTCCCTACCCTGGCATGTCCCCAAGGGCCCCCTCCCTCGAGGGAGGAAGAAGGCTTACCCGTTGACCGCCAGCACTCCCCAGCCAGTCATACCTCATCAGCAGGCATCCAAGTCACTCCTTTGTCCTTCCCTCACTACAACCGCCATTAAGAGATTTCAAATTTCAGCCTTGGTTCCAAAGCAGCCAATCACTGCTCACCCGTCGGGTCTTGCCACCAACTGATTGGGTGCAGGGGCCAAAGGGAGGCGGGAAAGAGGGCAGGGATATGGCCCTACCATTTTCTCTTGCACCACACAACCTACAGGTTTCTGGGAAGGGTAGTTGGAAGGTGTGGTGGTGCTGAAGTGGCCATGACTTTGCCAAATTTTAATCCCATAGGAGTCATGGGTCCCAGATTTTGGTCACATTCTGTAAGTTAGCCCATTTGAAGTACCTTGGTTGAAAAACTGTTGCCCTATGATGCACTGTTTCACCCAGCTGAAGGTTGCAGACACAAGAGTTTTAGTAGTATATAATGAAATGACTGCTTTTGGACATGGGGTGAGTTAATCTAATGGTTACACAGGCAGGACCTAGGAGCAGTCTAGAGTCATTTCTACATCAATGATTTACAACGTCAGTCAACAATTACTGTGCTGATATAACAGTAATAAAAGCAAGCCTGATATTGCCACTACATGTCTGAGGACAGTATAAATCAAGTGAGGACCTCATTCAGGGAGGAAACAAGGTAAGTAACTGAAACACTAATTCTATAAAATTTATTTGTAGTGTAGTAATGGAATGCCTATAAACATATAAATGTCTTCCTTGGAAAAAGTGTTTTGGATAGAGTTAATAGTGGGCTTAAGGTACAATATTGGGATACAATCTGATACACACTCATCCTGGATTAAACCAACATCACACCATTTTTTTTATTTTAAAAGACTGATACAGCCACCCATATTGCAATAACAACCCTGGGTAGTGCAGTAAAAACAAGCCCCTCCCATCAATAAAAAATTCTATAAAAACTCATGGCAGTCAACACCGATTGGAATCAATCACAGGAGGAGGAGGAGAACCATCACAAAACAGTGCCCCCACCTCCCAGTGCCTGTCCAGAAGGAGATCAGGAAGACCAGGACAGATGCACCACCCCTATCCCAAGCCCTCCACAGGTCATCCACCAGCACAACTAATGCCATCTCAGTGCTGTACACCACCCTGAACCCCAACTGAAAATAATCCAGATAATCTGCTTCATCCAGGACCCTCTGCAGGTCAGTGCCCACCACCCGCTCCAATGATGAGACATTAATCACCACTTGGACCCAACTGTGTGCCACCTCCCAGGAGGCCTTAACCAACCAGAAGGGGGCACGGATCCAAAACATAGGTGGCAAAGCTCAGAGCCCCACGGACTCTGTCCAATTCCTTTGGAGCAACTAGCTCCAACATATTCCAATTACTTCCAAAGGACCTACCCAGCTGGCATCTAACCCCAAGCAAAATCAAGCAACTTTATCCAACAGATGTTGAGCATATTCCTCACAGCGGCCCTGCAAAGGCTCTCCCAATCCCTCTTTACCCAGAAGGGAGCTGTTTAACCTAAACAAGGCAGCCCGCCACCATAGGAATCAGTTCCCCTTAACAGCCCATCATCTGGGCCTTTTTCTACTGCTGAATTTAAAAAGTGCTATCCAAGTATCCTTGAGAAGGCAGAAAACTATACCGTTATGGTATCTGTTCTCCCATTTCCAATCCCGCCTTCACTGCGGGAGGTAAGTGGGAGACAAATTCTAACAGATTTTAAAGACGCTGAAGCTGCCTTTGAACATTACAATAGGGAACAGAACCTCGCTTTAATAGCGGTACAACTAAAGGTTATTCCAGCATGTCTCACTCACAGGCTGGGGATGATATAAAATTGTATATAATTACATACATGTATATTTTATATTTAGTATTTACACACACACACATATATATATTCTTATATTTAGCATTGAAGCATTTAGACTTTTATTATGGATTTCTGTATCCTGTTTTCTTCTTTGCTACAAGTTTGTAAGCTTGGAGGCCTTTTTCCTAACCTTGATAGTTAAGGAGCTGTCCCCATAGAAACAAGATAAGGTGCACATTCCAAGGATAGTTTCTTCCTAGGGAAAAGATGTTTAGCTAACGGTCAAGGGGCCCTAGGAAGGAAGGAAGGAAGGAAGGAAGGAAGGAAGGAAGGAAGGAAGGAAGGAAGGAAGGAAGGAAGATGGAATGATACTGAGGTGGGAAATGGGAGATAAGGGGTGGTATTCTAATGGAGGGACTGAATGGAATGAGGGGAGGGGGTCGAACTGCGGCCACCCACCTAATAGTTTGCTGTCACTGCTTCTAGGTGAAGAATAAAGAACTTAATTTCATGCAACTGCTTGTTGTCTCTTTGATCCTGGCTCAGAAACGAACCTGGTAAGAAACAAAATTCTAACAGGGATCAGATGAAGCCAAACACGGCAGAACAAGGATGCTGCCGGTGTTTATGTGTGCCACAGCTAGGGGCATGTAGGGGAAAGCCCTGTGATTCCGCGTTCCGCAGTAGAAAAAGTGCCACTGCCCTCTCTGATAGCACAAGTGAAAGTAAACCTGCCCCTCGCTCACTGGAGAGGATGAGCGTCGACTTTTGCAGCGGCCCGCACCAAACTTCGGGTCAGAGAGCAAGAGCATCCTCGAAAGAAAAACGTTCCCGACTCTAGTCCCTTTCGGCGAGTGGCCAAGATTCTCACGTTCCGGGCAGCTTTTCCGTCTGCAGTGAATCGTAAGAACCACGAAGGGGCTTCAGCCCCGAACTGCACTCAGATCCCGCAGCGGGTCCCCGCCATCAACCTACGCGGGGCCACACACAGCCAAAGGCGACGTCGCCCGGGCGGATACCAGTCGGCGTTCAAATGCCCGGCAAACGCCTGCAGCAACGCTAGGCGGCGGCTCGTAGGCAAACCTTCCCGCGGCCCGCCCCGCTATTTCACTTGCCGGCTTGCCCGCGTACCTCGAAAGCAGTGCAGCTCCGCAGCTTCGAAGCCCTGGCGCTGGAGGAAGGCGCACAGCTGCTCCGTGGTCCAATACCGAAGGTGGAACTTAGCATCAGCCGCCGAGCCCGCAGCTGTAGCGCCGCGCTTTTCAGGCGTGCAGAAGCCATCGGCCGGGCTGGTGGGCCGGGCCCGTTTAAGGGAGCTTTCCTGGTTGCTATTCGACATTGCTCGCAGCTGCGATGAGGAGAGCGAACAGCTGCCTCCCTTCGCTCGCGCAGGCTCCGGGCCCGCCCTGCCGCCACCTCACGTTGCCACGAGCGAGACTGCCCAGCGAGGGAGACACGTGACTGCAAGTGGCTTCTCCGGACTGGTGGGGGGACCTATGCGCGCCTCCGCCCGCTGGCGGCTCATCCTGCCATGCTAATAGAGCTGGAATGCCTGGAAATAAGGGCCGGGCTTGACGACCGCGACCCACCGATGGAAAGCCCGACCTATGTTCACCCTTCCCCGTCCCCCTTCGGAATTTCGGGCTCCTCCGCCCCCTTGCGGAGAAATGAGCGCCCCCAGAGCTGATGTTTGTTACACCTTAGGGATCCAGGGTGATGGTACAGTGACCTCTAAGTCAGACTTCCATCAGGTCAAAGAGAACATCTCTACCCACGTTTTGAGGCCTGAATCAGCCTGCTTGTCATCTGCACTGTTTCAAATTAAAAGGTAATAATCCTTTTTTTAAAGATACACATCAAAGCAGTTACAAATTTAATGCACAAGGAAAGAATATTCTGTGTAGCTCCATGTCATCATCTCACCCCAAAAAATCTCACGGTGTGCTAGCTTCCATCTTCAGCATTCCCTCCCCAAGCACAAAATTTCTCAGGCCCCTCCCCTTCTCACATGTGTGTGTGTCTTCCAGTCAGTGTTGACTTCTGGCAACTGCCTGGACAAGCCCTTGCAGTTTTCTTGGCAAGAGAAGTGGTTTGCCGTTTCTTCCTTCCTAGGGCTGAGAGAAAGTGACTGGCCAGTCTCCCAGTTTCTAGCTTTGATGCCTTCACCACCACACCAAACTGGCTCTCATTCTCAAATATGAGCTGTTCCAAAATATTTCCAGATACAACTGCAGGGGATGCACTTTTCTTTTCCCAGGATTTGTCTCATCATTCTTAAATGATCCATTTTCTCCAGATGTTAAGAGACAAGATAAGGGAACATAGGCAAAGGGTGAATTGAATTACCATCTTCACTCGAGATGCTACCAGCTCTTACGGTTTTGTGAGACTTGCACTGTCTTGCAACCTTACAAATTATAATTCTCCAGCATACCGGCACACACACCCTTCCAATATAGTGTGATGCTATATGGAACTAATAAAGCAAACTAGTCTATAAATCTTAAGTCCTAAATCAAAATGCATTATTTGTTTTTTCCTTTTTGGGGTATTATTCACTCCCTCATCCACCTGTCTTGACAGGTGGCAGTGATCTTGCTTTACCTCTGACACTAACCAGGGCTGGCCCTGCTTACTTCTTGGATGGAAAAAATACTAGGGCTGTAGGCTAGACTACAAACTAATTTTAAACACTTTTTGAAAGAAGACAGCAGCAAACTACTTCTGTATAGCTGCCATGAAAACTGCATGATTGTATCAACCAAAAGTTGAGCTTGATTTCAGGGCATTTTACTTTAAAAAAAAATGTCCTTCCTCCATATAGGATCCCAGAGTAATGTCTGGAACATAGACAAAATATAAAGAGTAAATTGCAAAATACATGTGCAAATATTGAGTTCTTAAGAATCCTTCCTCAGGAAGAAGATAAAGCAAGAGACAGGAGAAAGAAACAAGACAGTTCAAGACAGACTGGTATTGTTAGTTTTAGATCACAAGGAATTTGCTGTGTCTTAAAGAGCAAACATTCTGTGGCCAAACTGCTCCATGATCAATTGTTGCTTGAAATACTTGGTTTTAATATTTCTATAGCGGTATGTTTCTCGAAGCCTCTATCGTCACCATTGTGTCATCCCTTATTATCCATGTGCACTGCCTGTAAACTTCAAAATTTCTGGTGAGAAATGGGAGGAGCTTGGAATGGAAAGGGGAAAGCACTGGACAAAACCTCTCGCTAATGTGGAGAAGAGATGGAAATGGAAGATATTGGGGGGAAAAATGAAGCTCAGAGAGCATCAAGAACCCAACAATTCAACCCTGAACTACATATATTATTGTAAATGGAAGAGAATAAGCCAAGACGGAAAGCAGGAAGCAACAGAGGTGTGAAGTAGGAAAAAAGGAAATAATTGAATAAATAGCCTGATAGGAAGATCAGTTCAGCAAGCACTGGGTAATGTAAGAAATTACTGTTCAATAGTGTGGGGCAGCAACTATTCTTTGAGAACCAACATTTCTATATAAAAATGATTTAGGATTTGGAATATGATGATTTGTTTTAAAGGGCTGTATTAATATTTAGTTATATTTGAGAAATTTTAAGATAAAGTATATCCATTACCATTGTGTAGGACTAATTGTCAATCTGCCCTCTCAATATTCATTGAGCTCTGAGATATTCATGTGCATCAAGAACAGAACTGAGGTGTCTAAAGCTAATAAGCTCAAAAGCACAATTAACTTGGTAGATGACAATAATAAAGCAGTCAGGTGATAGTTCTCTTACACATAATGCAAACTCCATTAACCTTCCTTCCTTCCTTCCTTCCTTCCTTCCTTCCTTCCTTCCTTCCTTCCTTCCTTCCTAGCACCCTTGCTACCTACATTATCAGAGCAGAATGTGGCAAAAAAGTTTTTGGGAAACTTATAGCTACTCTTCAGGTCTTTGCTTGAATGGTGTGACAGAAAATGAAGATTCTGGAGGGGAAGGCAAAAAGTGGAGGAAGGGACCATCCAATCCAAAAGGGATCTTAGGACATTTCAAACATATACTCTATCTGAACTGAAATAGAGATTTTATTCCAGTGTTGGAGATCTACAAAGAAAATGAAGGACTATGTTCTGGGTTTCAAGTATTTAAGGGCAACTAAAGCATTATATACTGTATAATGATTGACTAGTGACAATCTAGACACAGATGTTTAAGAGGTTATGAAAGGATTATGTCATAAATATGAACTAAAGTGGTAGAAAGGTACACCTCCATCTAGAGGAACAGAGATATAAAGTATATTCATATGAATCTTATAGGAAACTACAAGAAAGAACACAGAGATGTGCTCTTAACTTTTTTTTCTAATTGTGGGTCACATTTGGGAGCTGTAATGTTCTGATTGGACAACCCACCTTTCCCAAAAGAAAACTTTTCACAGATTAACCATAGATAACACCCTCCACCCCCCTGGAAACAGAGGCTTGCCCCTCTGCATGCAATAACTTCCTGACACTCATCTGGTCCAATGACTTTGGATAATTAGTTTTGCTTCTGTATATTCTTTATACAGATCTATCAGTTTTTATGCTCTACAACACATGTATTTTACAAACTTATAAAAATATCAAATACTAGAACTTACAGGGTGTTTGTGATGTGTGACTATCCTCCATTTAAAATGAGGATTAAAAAAAACATCAAATTTACAGGGTTACCACTTTGTTAAATATTGAAGTGTGAGTGTGGCTGCAAGCAATACCTTTCTGTCTTATATAACTTTATTGTTTCTTTGTGAGTATATTAAAGGCTGGCAATGTAAAAAAAAAATCTCTCTCGTAGTTAGAAATTCCATGAAGTGAGTATGATTTCTATATCCATTGTACATGTGAGGAAAATACATTTTTAGGTGAGGAAGATAAGTTTTCAGAATCTTCAGATGAATGGGAGCGCCTAAACAAAACTGAAACATAAAGGAATGTGCAGCAGCCTTGGAGTTGGTGTGAAGTAGCCTGGTTGTAAAAACCTTATCAGAACATTCCCATAGCAACCAAGGCATCTGTCTTGAATGAGGATGTGTTCTTCCTGGCATTTGGCACCCTGAATTGCCCCCTCCCTTTGTTTCTTCTTCTCAGTAAGACTATCATTTTCTTTGTAAATTTGTAAATAGCAGAGGGGCATGAAGTAACTCAAGATCTATGTGTGCCTACATCAGGATATGAGTATGTATGCAGGCATCATTTTTCCCTTCCCCTTTTTTGAAATGTATAAATATCAGTACATCTCTTTTGTTTGCAGGGGTGTTTCTCACTTCAGTGGGGTCCCCTCCAGTATGTACTGTTTAATAAATACTGCAGTTAACCTCGATTATTTTTGTCCTGCATTTTGATTCCACAGAAATTGGTGTCAGCAGTGCGATTCACAATCTTCAAGCTGCAACTGGAGACGACAGCAGGGCACCCTTCATGGTGAATGTTGAGGTGGGCCTCATCCTATGTCCCTTTCCTTGCCATATAAGGGCACCGTTTAGGAGCATGTTCCTTTTGTGTCAAGCAGAAGCTGACCCGAGAGTCTGCTCAAACTCCCCTTTCCTGTTGTCGCATTCAGTGAAGTCACCTCAGCTGCTAAACCCTATGCAAGGGAAGTGTTAACAGTGCTCTGGCAGACTGTGAGTGGGCCTGTGTGTGTTTTCCCCTTTAAGTTAATCCACTGTGCACCAGAGCTGGGTGTCGGTCTTAGGACCATACCTGTGCCCTATGGGCTGTGAAGGAAAGAGAGTGAATGAAAATGTAACGGATCACAAAAAGCTGATCCTCTTCAGTCAAGAGAGCAGCCCATTATGTGAATCTAAGGACCAAATAATCAAAGCAGGAGAGAAGGAAATTGGCCAAGAAGAATCTCCAGATCTTGGACGCAGGCAGAGATCATAGCAGATAAGTAAATCTGAACAGGAATTTAGAATCTCTGGGAGGAAGAAGGAAAAGAAAAAGTAAAACAAAAAGAGAGAAACAAATGGGTAATTTGCAAGCAAAGTCAGTTTTGTATTACTGAAATACCAGTTTGGATCAGGAGTGGTTAAATACATGAAACAATGGAATCAAGCTACAAAGGGAAACTGGCTGCTTTGGGGAAATTGGGACAAAGGTAGATTAGAAAAGGTTCACAAATTCATTTTAAGTCTCCCACCCAAAGGAAGAGAGAGGCAGCAGAGGCAATTTGTCATCTGGGCAACCGAAGCAAACAGATGAGAGGTGGAGAGCAAAGCCAGCAGCTGGAGGCACAATTGCCGGAAAGACAGCATCATGTTTAACAGAGAGGGAAGACCCCCTCCTGGCGTTTTTGCTGACTACTTCTCCCCACAATCTTAATAACCAAAAGGAAGGGTCACTTGCTCAACCAGCTGATGGGGCAAGTATGGAGGGAGGAGCTGCTGCA